TGGCGGTATATGTAATCGAGAAAGCTGACAAGACAGTGAGTGGTGGAGGAAGTTTTCATGTTGCCAAATTGCTCTGTGTGTGTGTGTGTGTGTGTGTGTGTGTGTGTGTGTGTGTGTGTGTGTGTGTGTGTGTGTCACTTAATCCTTCAGTGCTCTCTTTGGTTGGCAACAGCTCTATGGTTCTGGTTGGTACTTTTGGCCACACGTCTGGTCTGGCCTTCTCACCAGAGTAGCGCAGTAATAAAATCCCCTGTGAATCACTTAACGCCATAAGCATCTGCGGGTACTGGTTCATATACAAAGTATAATGTGATACTCCTGACGCCCCTTGTCACCCTACCAAGTTACACCGTTGTAAAAACCCGACCAGAGCCACCGCCATGCATCAGCCCCTTCCTCGCTCCCTGGGGTCAGAGCTCTAGTTATAGTTAGGTAGCTTAGCATCACCATTCAGTTATTTAATTAAACTTAAGATCAAATAATATGAGGTCAGAAATTAGAGTTAAAGACACATCTGAGGCTCGAAGATGGCAGTTACGAGGAATCAGACCAGAACAAAGCCGAGATACGGTAGTTATTTTCCTCTGTGTTTACAATAGCGGATGCAGAGATATGACATTGCTGTGAAGGTAGACAGTTTAGTTATGCATTACACATACGGAGTTCTCAGAAGAGTGAATTGAAGTTAATTTGCCTAAACTCTAGGTTAATAAAACCCGTGTCCATGAGTGTACAGCTCAAAGTATTAATATAATTGTGTAATCAACTTCCTTATTCGAGAGGATTACGGAGGAAGGAAAAGATTTCTAATGACAGGAAACTAACACTTGTGATCCCTGAATCTAAAAGGAAAGATCGCCATTAAACGCTCGTACTACATAATGTCTTGATGCAACATTTACCACGGAAAAATCTTATTAAGGAGTGTCAACAGAGATTTATATCTGGTCGCTCCTTCTTGACACCTGCTAATGGTAAGTATGACTCGTGTTGATGTTATGATGTACTATACTGATGCGTTTAAAAGAACTAAGGTCATTAAAAGATTGTTCTTGGTCAGTAAATTCACTAGTCATCAACATTTGAAAATTAAGACAACTACAATTCTCTGGTTGCAATCGTGACTTTGGTAAGTGTAAACACCTTAGTTAAGTGCGTTCAGGTGACGGGCAAGTCGAAGGGAAATGATTGAAACCCGCCTTTTGACGCATTCAATATTTATTGATGTGGTCAAAACCTGCAGAGAACAAGGCGTTCATTAGTATTACATGAACATAAGAACATAAGAATGGAGGAAACTGCAGCGGGCCTATTGGCCCATACTGGGCAGTCCCGTTTACACCCAACCCCTATTGCTCATATGAGCATCCAACCTATGTTTGAAGCAATTCAGCGTATTCGAGTTAATGATGATATTTGGTAACTTGTTCCATTCATCCACTACTCTGTTTCCAAACCAGTGTTTACCTATTTCACGCCTAAATCTAAATTTGTCTAATTTAAAACCATTGTTACGAGTTCGCTCCTGGTTGGATAATTTGAGTACCTTTGTAATGTCCCTTTGTTTAGCCCTGCCTTCCACTTATACACCTCTATCAGGTCGCCCCTCGCTCTCTACGTCTCTCAAGGAGTGCAAATTAAGATGCTTTAACCTGTCTCTATACTCAAGGTTCCTAATGCCCGGGATTAGTCTTGTCATTCTCCTCTGAATTCTTTCCAAGGATTCTATCTGTAATACGGTGACCAGAACTGAACTGCGTAACCCAGGTGTGGTCTCACAAGAGCAAGATAGAGTTTTAGGATGACCTCGCTAGTCTTGTAACTAACACTCCTTTGTATGAACCCAAGTACTTTATTAGCCTTGTTACGAGCAAAAACACATTGTTTACTTGGCTTAAGGTTCCTACTTATCATTACTCCTAAATCTCTCTCGCAGTCGGATTTCTCTATGGCATCGTTGTTCATCTGGTATCTGGTTTCCCTGTTTACATCTTCTATACTGAGCACTTTACATTTGTCGACGTTGAATTTCATCTGCCATTTTTCAGACCATTCGAAAAATTTGTTTAGATCTTCCTGTAGTTTTGCCGAGTCCTCGTCAGATTTGATAACACGTCCTATTTTAGTGTCATCAGCAAATTTACTTATGTTGCTGTCTATGCCGATATCTATGTCGTTTGTGTATATAATAAATAATAATGGTCCAAGTACTGAGCCTTGGGGAACTCCACTTGTGACGTTGGTCCAATGGGACTTAGTGCCGTTAATGCTCACTCGCTGTTTCCTGTCCTGTAACCACGCCCTAATCCATTTAAGGATGTCACCTTTGATGCCACGAGCTTCTACCTTTCTAATTAGTCTTTCGTGGGGGACTCTGTCGAAGGCTTTGCTAAAGTCGAGATATACCACATCATAATTGTGCCCCTCGTCCACCGATTCGAAAACTGATGAAAAGAATGTTAATAGATTAGTTAGGCAAGAACGTCCGCTTGTGAAGCCATGCTGGGAATCATTGATCAATCGGTGCTTCTCCAGGTGATTTCGAATAGAGTTTGAAATGATTGCTTCCAGTAATTTGCCTACTATTGATGTTAGACTGATTGGGCGGTAGTTAGAGGATAGTGATCTATCCCCCTTCTTGAAAATCGGTATTACATTCGCTATCCTCCAGGATTCTGGTACTACACCTGTTTTTAAGGGTATGTTAAACAACTTTGCTAAGGGCATACTAAGCTCTTCCTTACATTCCTTTAATACTCTGGCAAATATCTCATCGGGACCAGGTGACTTTTTAGGCTTTATTTTGTCTATTTGCTTACTAACATCGTTACTAGTCACTACTATCTCACTTACCATCTGATACATAATTAGTTCGTCTCACACATTATCATCTTAATTACAATTGATTATTAAGCATAGTGACATGATACAAAGTTCATAACTCTATTAATCTTAGTTACACTTCATTCTGCATTGTCTTATTTCTCCAGATAAGGCAGAAACGAGTAGGCATAATTAGTCCACAATATTTCAGTACTGAGGGGTATGTCATCACTTACCGTAGGCTGTACTTACAAGTGCGGGTCAATGCTAACCAGTATGGTGTTCCAAGGGACAATAGGACTGCGTAAATTGTTCCAGCACAAAATATCTCGGCCAGGATTGTGAGTCGGTGTTCACCACTGCGAGCAGAGGGCTGGTCCTTACAGCATCACTCGAGAGGGCGATCTGCCTCATGGAGGCCAGGAGGCCACGCCACCCTCCAAACCATATTTTTAAATGATATGCTAGTTGCAGTCCTCTCATCCATACAAGAAGGATATAAATATTTATCCCTGAGGAATGCAAGAGGTTCCATGTAGGCTTTAATAATAGAAAGGACTTGTAGTGCCAAGTTGCCAACCCAGTGAAGACGAGTCGCTCGCTCACCAGTGTTGCACCAGACGGGAGTACACACGCTGCCTCATCCACATGACCCACTTGGCAGTAAAAGTGTTAATATTTTGGTAGTAACTTTGGGCGGAGAGGCTATATTCATTTTCAGTTTAGCCTGAACGTGTTTTATAGGATCTGAACTTGAATTCGTTACTTCATCTGAGAGGGAGATGATTTAAGTTGACAGCCTGATCCGGGTCCTAAGAGAATTACCTTCCCTAAACGCCTTATGGTTATCATTAATCAGTTAGATAAATCTTACTACACTCTGATGATGAAGAAGTGACGTCATGCTGACTACGGCTTACTATTGTCGCTAGAAATAAATCTTAATGAGATCAGATTATGATCACGAAAAGTTAACAGTTTAATTTGCTTGGAAATATTAGGTGTAGATCTAACCCATAAAATGTTATCTTAAGTTACCTTAGTTAAGAGAAATTAGTTTTTGTTGTCTTAGAAGTTGTTTTTGGTGAATATTGTTTTATTATATACAGTACATCCTTAAAATTCTGTTTTATTTTGTAACTTCATTTCAATATTTCGAATCACACGAGACACACAGGCGAGAGTACAGTATAGTGTAGTATGAAATCGGGACAGAGGTAAACGAGTGAGGTCACGAGCAACACGTCGTCTACCGCAGGACAGGAGCCACCAGATTGCGGTTCTCTAGGAGGATCACGAAGTAGTACTGGATCTGCTGTCCCTATGTGATTACGCTGCACCTAAACTTGAGATTTGAGCGACACGGTGCATCATGGGTACCTGCGAGGCATGACACAACTGCAGCCAGCGCTTTTCTCTGCCTGCAAAGACGCTAGCTGATTTTTTTCTTATCTGGATTTAAACCATCAAATTACTTAGCCAGAGCAGGGACTCGTATGTCAGCACAGTACAATGTCTTCACACACCGAGAGTTCTTTATTTGTGATATACTGTACAGTACCTCTATTGTGGGCTGTTTGATTATTACGTATGTACTGTGTGTAAAAGCGCCCGATGAGTGACACCTCCGGGAATATTATTTCGTACAGGAGTTTGTGGGAACACTGTACTCACTAACTTCATTTTATTCCAATTATATTTTCATATCTCGGGTAGAGTTACTCTGGGCGAGTCGTCAAATGTTTAGTCTTGTTTACATGGTTCAGTTTCTTTCCATAATTCTTCTATTCATGTGTTTATGTGTTTCATAATATAAAACTATTGAATAAGAGTGTTAAAGAAAATATACAGTAGTAAGCGTAGTGCCACTTTATTGTGACTGACAATCCTACACAGATTTGGGTCCGTAAAGAGCCACCATAAGTTGGGAATTACTCCTGGTTATCTAATTATGTAATATTATAAAATCAAATTGGGTTTCTTCCTGGTACACCAGCCCTTACACACTCATCATGGATTGATTAATTTTAGTACACTGTTAGGTACGCTTGCCGATAGTGGACTAATAACCTGCTAAGGGAGTGAGGCGACCTACTGTAGAAATAATGAGTGCTAAGCTCCGATAGCACCTTCGTCATAACAGGAAGTAGTGTGATTGATTCTATATTTTTTTTCAGAGTGAGACATATGTGGACAGGGCGAGTAACTCATTTGACGAGGATCACCAGCCACTGGACCACTTGCAGGTAAATTAAATCTCAGTTTTTTACTCTATCCCGTGACTCGGCGTATCATTTAGAAAAAAAAGATAAGATAGAAATGATGAGATAGACAGGAACAGATAAGTTAATAAACGAGAGATCAAACAGTAAATTGAATGTAACTTGACTGATACACAGAAGACCGAGTAGGTAAATTTCCCCAGGCGGTACAGGATGCTGGTGGTCCCATGGGAGGTGAGAGCGACCCCAGCGAGCTGCCACGAGCGCTCACCTCTTATTGTGGTAAATCCCCTCACCCGTTATCACCATCAGGTGTTTCGAGCAGCCATGGTGAAGGTTATCACATTATCTGTGACGATGGTATCAGGGTCGGGTCAGCGTCCGGGCTTGTTTTCATAATAAACAAGGTCATGTGATACCATATTCTATGTACAGTACATTACTGCGTGTTTGCCATCGGCGCCATGACAGCTGACCAGAGACCTAACACGGCCGATATCTAGCTCACCCCGGTCTTTTATATCACCCCGAGATCTGTATTATCCAAGCAGCCAACTTGAGAAGACGGAGGCGAGAGAGAGAAATCGCACACAAGTCACTCTGGTGAGGAGGACTTGGGATGACGGCTCAAGGGCACTGTTGCTGCGTCACCCCAAACGAAAAAAAAAAAACGACTGCAACACACAATCGAACACTCGAGGGAACTTAACCTCTGTCGCTGATGCCGCCGGACTTGCCGTACCTGTCAGCTGATAGAAGTGTTGAAAGAGTTTGTATCGACGCAAATGTGACGCGTCTGATCTGAAGTGTTTTTAGAGGGACACCAGCAAGTACTATCACTGAGCTGATAGTAAGTTAGTGGGGAATTTCATCATACTTTTACTTTATCGTGGATAAGAATCCTGATATGTTTAATAACTATGTTTAGCTCCACAAACATTGACTTACTGCAGTAACAATACGTCACAACTGATTTCAACTCGCGTGAATTCAGGCGATGTACTTTAACTAGTAAATTTTACAATAAAAATTCGGCCACTGGAACCTTATAAGTACTGTAATGTCAAAATAATATATTCGTACGCAACATAACTCTTTTTTTTTTCATTTATCATCACATTAGGAAAGCAACTGATAATTGTATGGTATTTCTATATCTTATCTATCCATCAAATAATGTTTGTTTTTTGCGAAGGTGAAGTTTCAATCCATGTAGAAGTGTCGGGGTTATTATGTTTTATCATTTCTTCTCAGGTTACAAATTAACTTACAATTACGTTTTAATTGGTTCATGCACTTTATAATTATATTTTCAATCTTGGGCGGTGAACAGAAAAACCACCACTCTCTCTCTCTCTCTCTTCTGAATAAATCCCTGTATTATCGTTTACTAGGATGTATTTTCTCCAGTACATAAATAACTTCATAACTTCACCTTTGGAATATTACCATCCAAATACCATAATAATTTGGTCACTAAAGAAACGTTTTTCTCATGAACAACAAATACCAGTCGTAAATTCAAACCGACGAATTTAATTGACGTTTTTAATTGACGTTATACGCATATTCTCAACATTATTACACCGGAATTTTGTGAAGTTTATGGTATCTGTTCAAGTCGTAATTAATTTATTTTCGGGCCTATTTATTTATTCAGTATAAGCGAGTGAAGGAAGTTTGTATTAGTCTTCGGCAATATTACCCCAAGATACCAGCGGCAACAGTCAGAGGCGAAGAAAATCACACTCACCAGGTTACTCAATGGCGGACAAGAACGTTATGCCATGTATTCGTTAGGGGACCAGATTATACTTTTTTCAGACTCATTTCATTACATAAAACGAGACACTGTAAGATAGTTAATAAAGTTGATAAAAATCTACGGTAGGAATACTTAATGTTAATCTAAGTTCAGAGTTGGTTTTTTTTTTCGCTTGCACAATTTCGCCCCCCATAAAAAAGGAAAAAAATATTATTGTATACTTTTTCCATTGGTGGGCTTAAATAATATATTGAGATACTGATTTTTCCTGCTCTCCACAGATACACAGTTGACAGGTCGTTCATCATCTCCCAAGTTAGTAAATGTCTGGGTAGATGCTCAAGCTCATTGTTGTTGGAATTAGGAAGACAGTAATGTTCCTCTTAAAAATGCCTCTGAGGTCATTTGCTCTTGCCACACAGGTCGGCTCCCGATCACTCTTGTTCCCGGAAAATATTTTGTATTCAATGTTCATAAATAACACAACAAAAGCCTCTCCTTCAGCTTGGACTTCCCAGTAATTGTGGCAAATTTTATATTTTCGCTAACTTAGTCTATTTACTCTTTTGGTGGAACTTTTAATTGAAATAGCGTTTTAAAGTTTTAGTCTAGAGTGATTTGTAGAAGCCAGTTAGTGAATAATATAAATGACTGGACAATAAAACAGTCTACTCAGGGAGGTAGATCACCGGCTATAGACGCAGTTTGGTAATTTTTTAGTACATGTAGATTTATTATGGTCATTAGGGACAAATAATATATTGATAAATTATTTTATTTGGGTCTTTTTATTATCACCGCATAATAAAATTGAACGATGACCTTGAAATAACAGCCGAAGATGAACGTCATCTTATTATCTCAACAGAACAATCATGCTTATATACACTTATCATCAGTGAGAACTTCCTTCAAAATGTCATGACGTTTGCGCTGATTCAAGGTAACCCAACTAACCTAACCTAACCTAACCTAACCAAACCTAACATAACCTAAACTAACCTAAAGTAAAAAAAGCACCATCGCCGGCACTGCACTCGACCTCCTCCAATTCCCCAACTTAGTAATGATAGGTACCCATTTACACCTGGGTGGGCAGTGCTCATACCAAACACTAAAATTTGCCTTTGCGAGGTTTACTGGCTACTCAAAATAATCTACAAAACTACCAGTGTGTCGGCGCGAGGCCTAGAGTCGATCAGATAAAGTCACAGTATATGATGGGAATACCGCATTGTTTGGTCGGTATATTGTCAACTAGAGTAGCTGGGTTTTCACGTCTAGCCGGTGGGAAGTGGTCATGCCGCTGGTGCTAATTCACATCGCTTATCAGTGAAAAAAATTATCTCTTAAATTTGGTATGAACCAAGGGGGGGGGCTCAGCGCTGTACAACCACCACACCGTCGTGGTTAACACCACCACAATGTATTCCATAAACTTCCCTTCCTCCGTCACTGTATCTACGTGCCTACAGTACCAACAGGATAACTTTCTTAACTATGAGAGAGATAGAGAGAGAGAGAGAGTGTGTGTCCCACTGTCACAGCGAGACAGTCTTGATGTGTCGTGTGAGTGTGAGGCAGTACAGTATGGTATTATCTCGTGATTATCTTAATATTTTCATACTTATTAACATAACACCGTCTAGTTATTTATGTAAAACATATCAAGAAAATTTATACAACATTTCACTTTTCTTATTTACGTTTTCTTTATGTAGCTGCTCCTGATATGATTGTTTATCGACAAACGGTGGTGAGGTCAAAAGCAGGAAACTACTTCAGTAAACATGTACTGTATTCCAGGATTACGGAACACACGTTTGATGAGACGAGAGACACATCACAGTGCACAACACACGCCTCTGCCCCCGTGACGTCACATGTCCTACGTAAATGTACCAATTGTGTGGATAATTTGGCTGGTGTTGACTGTCATCTGTCAGGTTGTGGTTCACTCTAAAACAGACACATTATCCTGAGATATCCCTGGGGGGGGGGGTGGGGACGTCAACACTAACACAAGACATAGGATAAATATTTACTGTATGTCTTGGAAACTTAATGTATGTCTCTCTGGCCCATAAGACCTTTACCATAAATATTGAAGTGTTTATTTTAAAGAGGTGAAGTTTGAAGATGATAAGAAATTAGGAGTCTCTCTCTCTCTCTCTCTCTCTCTCTCTCTCTCTCTCTCGTACACACACACAAGAGATATTTTAAGGTAATCACGGCATTTTTTGTCTATTATGAGAATATTGTGTTTAGATACAGTACCACTATGGAGTGATTATGTGTGGTTCCCTTCAGACCGTCTCCTCCCTTGAATCTAAACGTCTCACTTTAATCCAACATATAACACAGCTCTTGACTTGACCTCGTGAGAATTGTGTTGTAATGAAGTTTCTGTGGATTCTATTTATATTGTGTTTAGTGCATAATAATACGGTTGACTCTAGCTTAGACTGCTTGCTTGTATGTAGTGTTGCTCTCCCTGATGTTGGTGGGCCTATACCATCCCTCCTGTGCTACAGAAAGAGATAAGGAGAGACCCGATAGCCAAGCAAGAGAACAGTACTTATACTCTTCTGTGAGGTGGAACACTGACAGGAAGAAGCTGTTTTCCCCCATGTGCTACTCTACTTCATGTCTCTTGTTGTGGAGGAATAATCGACGAGTAAAACGTCTACCATGAGGCTGATGATTTTTTCCACCAGGATTGATGTACAATGCGATAAACTTAGATAACTTTTACTGGTGTTTCTGGTGGGAGATGATAACTTGTCCTTTAATTTAGTGTACTTTCGGTGGTTCAAATTTGTTTTCTGAATTTAAAACATCTTCCACACAATTTTTTTTTCTCACTGTTCCTTCGGTTGTTTTTTTTTTTGTTAACCAGAGGAATGTCGATGATTTATCTACCATCCTGAATTTAGGAAGTCACCCGATCGAGGTTACTTGACTTCCTCGTAGTTAATCCTCAGTTTGAACCTCTCCCTATCCTTCCATTCTTCTCCCTTCTCTCGGTTTTCATCCCTCCCTCTTCCCTTTCTCTGTCTTCCTCTTCATCTCCTTTCACTTTCTCCCTACTTCCACTCACCCTCTACCTCCTTCTCTGCCTCACTCACTTACATACACTGAATAAGCAAAAGAGAATTACTTAAATGTTTCTGAGAGAAGACTGAGCTGCCCTCGTCAAATAGTCAACTAATACTGATTTAACTTTTTATATACACAAATACTGAAAGATAAACAGATA